CTGGGCAGGGGGCAGGGGGGGACATCCTGCGCCTGGCAGATCACCACAGTCCGCCATGGCTGGTAACCTAGGAAATGAACTCCCCAGGAAGGGGTTGAAAATGTTGAGAACCACAAATGAGGCACAAATCTCATTTTGGTCATGATCTGACTGTCCATCCTTAAGAGCCCCTCATTTTTATAAGTGTACAAGAGGTAAATACCTTTCTAGTCTCACCAAATGAGAAAAAATCAAGGAAGAAATGGTTTTTTCCCCTCTCCACCTTTTGGTCCTTGACCCCAGGGGCCCAGGACCCTTAGAAGCACTAGGTGAGCATAGGAAGAGAGAAGCCCACAGTGATACTCATGCATTTCTCTTCCGCTCCATCGTGTGCACAGTGTTGTGGCCCTACTCATGGGTAGAGGCGGAGGAAAACATACAACCATAGGACCATGCGGTTCAGAACAGAAAGGGATCGCAGGAGATGATCTCTAGAGACAGCATGTCCCAGTGAAGCAAATCGCCCCTGGGTTCAAATCCCAAATCTAGCCTTTATTTGCTGTGTGCCATCAGGCAAGTCACGTAACCTCTCTGTTCCTTAGCGTCCTCACCTACCGCAAAGGGAGATGATAATGCTTTCCTTATGTGGTTGCTGTGAGGATTAAGAAATATGCAAGTCTGTAGGTATTATTACTGCCTAAGAAGGCAGCCTTAAGGCTTTGGGCCATAGTGATTCACTCTCAACTGCAAGTATGTGACACTCCTCTTACATAAAGAAAAGTTCTAAGGGAAGTCATAGCATTTAAGTTCCACAGCTTTCCTGTGCTAGAACTAGAGCCAGATTAGCCTGTAACAACGGTCCGCCCCGAGCAGAAGGGGGGCCCGGACTCTTCTTCATGAGCCAGGGGGCCTTCCCTTCAAGTGGACCCCGTTCACTTTCCTGGCCCCCTCTTGCCTCCTCCTTGTCCTCAGTATTCATTCTCCTCTTTCTGTGTCTTCTCAGCATTTGGCTACCAGAAATCAACAGAATAATCTAAACGCATCCCATTCTCCCTTCTCCCCAACACCTGGCCAAGAACTACCTCAGTTTGGGGCCCCAGAAGCCCATCATGGGATACACAAGGTCTGGATGGCTCCCTGGCCTGGCCACCTCTAACAAGGGGGTTACAGCAGATGGATCCTTCTCTGTGGCTGATTATTTTCCATGGCCCTTGGCCATGTGACCTCGGACCATGATCTTGTCAGTTCTCGTAAACTAAGCAGGAGTGGCTGAGTCACACACAGAGAGGAAATCTCTGGGGGAAACAGCAAGGGCTGTGGGAGGAAGGAGAGCAAGCCGGGATCTCAAAGGCCATGGGAGCCTCACCCTCCTGCCCCCCAACCACTGAGCAGCTTTGATTTTACATGAAGAGAAGGAGGAAGAAGGAGTACCCCAGGGGGCAGGCTGGGCTGCAGGTGGGCTACCCTTATTAATAAGATCTGGGGTCTCAGCCCAAGAAGCCAATTGTCCCCAAGACCTCCAACCCACAGAGACTGCCTGCGTAGGCTACTCACTGAACCCCCAGTTACTGACACCCAATTCCTATTCTTAGGAGCCCCGACACCTCATAATCATAAGAAGATAAAGTAGAGAACAGCCAACACTCACACACGCACACGCCCCCACATCTACTATTGGCTCTGGATGTCCTCTGGGAGGTCAAGTGATCAACACTGATACACGCATTGGAAAAAGACACTCCGGGCCCTTGATCCCATGTTGATGGTGAAGATGTTCTGGGGGTGCTATGTGGAGTGTTTACCTTATGCCAAACACGTAGATGAAAACCGAAAATGAGGTAATGAGGTGCCAACAAAATCTCCATGTTCTCCAATATCCTGAAATTGGGTGTTGTGTAAACAAAACCCTGAACTTCTCTGCCTAATTTTTGTGTTTTTGTTTTTCTGGTTTTGGGGGTTTTTTGTTTGTTTGTTTGTTTGTTTACTCTAAATCATCTTTAGATTTCAAAGTTGTCCGTGTCTGTAGCTTTGGGTCACAAGTTACCTTAAATTCTCTGACAAGTTAATGCATTGTTCGAGAGGTTATTTCTGAGTAAAATATGCACACGTAAACAATCTCCTTAACTATGTATATGTTTTAATTACATTCTGGGCATCCACTTGATGAAATCCTAGGGAGAAGAGTATACGTATGTGTGTCTGTGGGTCTAGGGCATATATTTTTGCATACACAAAAACACGGGGCAAAGCATGCTATTTTAAGAGTCTGAACCCTATCTTTCAACAAAGTTTAGCTGCTTTCCTTTTGCAAATGCATTTAATTTTATCTGGAAACTTTTTGACGTTAGAAGTAGAACAACTGTAGTTTCTCATTATGTTTGCTGCCAGAGTCCATGCTTGGTTGCTCAACTAAAGACCTTATATTGCTAATTACTACCACATGCCCATATCCCAAGCGAAAGAAAACTTATTGATTCTGACAGCCCATTCTCTCAACACTGAATTCCAAATGAAAACTCAAATTTTGGCCAAACATAACATTTCATCAATCTTGTTCTACTGACTGGAAAACAACATCAAACAAAGGGTGCTAATGGCCCTTTATTACCATTCCTTTCCCAAGCTTATATTTTCTGATGAAAGATCTAAGTGACCAAAGGGCTTCTTTAAACTACTTAGTAATTAGCTTTTGAACCAGGAAACAATGCGTAAAGTAAAGTGAACGGGTCCCCGTGTTGATGACAGGACCTACTCTCTGTCCTCAGGGTCGGGGGACATCGGAGACCCAAAGAGCACATTAAAAGCCAAGTGTGTATTTTCATAAAGGGAGGGAAAAAAAAAAAGCGAAAGAGAAAAAACCAGGCTAAAGGCCGTGATAAAAGAAGACAGAGACGCAGCCAGAACAAAAGCCATGGGAAGTCTGTGATCTGAAGTCATCAGCACTCGAGGGTTTGAGTGGAAGTGCCAAGGTGAGAAAGATAACCAGATCCGACCAGGGGCGGGTGAGAGACTGCTGCTCTGAGGCCCCCTCTGGGGCGCCCAGCGACAAAGGCCACCAGCCACCCGGCCCACCCACACTGGACCAGGGAAACTATTTAGAGGAAAAACATTGTACCTAGAGTGAGAGTCTAGAAATATGCTCAACGTAGACTTCGGGGCAATTGACTTTATGGGCTTCTTCAGGGGCAGTGATAAGGAAATGCTGGCTGAGCTAGTGGGGTGGGAGGCCATAAAGAGAGCCCAGTTCCTCAGAATGCCTTCTGCTTTACGGCGACCTGTTCATACCTTAAAGGCGAAATGGACAGAGGAGCTATTTTCCTCTTGGCAATGGAATAAATGACCAGTGGGAATCTCTGGACTTATCTGGCCTTTTGGATCCAACCAATGGCCCAGAAATCAGAACAGCTTGGTTCTCATCTCATCCAGGGCTGTTAACATAATAAGAAGCGGAGGGCTCCATTAGAGGGAAGGTGGAGAAATGTGCTGCCTCCACGGAAGAGACGCCAACTGGCCTCCTCTCGTCCACTGTCCTTTGTTCCTTTGAAAGGAAACTGGTATCCTGTGGGTAGTTCAAGAAAATGAGTCTTTTTTTTTTCCACCCCCTCATTTTCTGAACGAAGGACTGGACACCTGAGCTCAGGATACACTGGGATCACCGACAGGAGACGAGGTTTGCTCCATCCAACAGGACCGTCAGGCAAGGAGGACGTGAGGGGGAAGGGCAGTGCTACCCTTTTATTTTCTCTTAAAAAACCAAATAGGCTGTTCAAGTGTTCATCTGAAAATGTATCAGAGGAGGGGCACCCCGTTCTGCGATCGGAGCTTCTAGGACTGGGAATGGGCCTGAGTGATGAAAATACTCTCATCTCGATCTGGATGGTAATGACTGAGTGTGCACATAGGGACACATCCCTTGAGCTGCACATTAAAACTGTGTGTCTCTTACTCTATGGAAGTTAAAACAAAAACAACAAAGCTGAGAAACCAAGAAAAAGATTAAAAAAAAAAAAAAGTAAAGAACGGTTGCCACCAGCCATGCCTGGTGCTCTGGCAGAGGACAGAGATGCTAAGGCCCTACTGTTTATGGAGGAGTCAACCTTCTCGTTGACAATGAACCCATGCACTGATATGGATATTGATAAAATGATCGGAGCACAAAATGAAACAGTCCCCAAGAAGAAGGCATTGATGTACAGGGAACCAAACAAAAGACTCCCATCAGGACTAGTATGTTGTGCCCTGACATACCATAGATAGAATATGTCTTGCCCAGAAGGAATCTCCACTGAGTAATGAGTCCCTCTGAGGACAAGCTCGGTGCCTCCTGGCTAAAGAGAATTGGTTTCCTGGCTGCCACAGTGCCTTGACTTTGCCTTCCCTAAGACTTTCCTGCTGGAGGACAATCCCATGTTACTGCTGCACAAAAAACAAAACAAAACAAAGCCAAACCCTAGGATGGCATCACATTAGTCTGGGGGACCAGAATGTAATCACTAAGCCAGTTGATGTGAAGAATGAATGAGCCTGGTTTCCTGCTGAGGGATTAGAACAGAAAATGCAGGTCCAGTTACCTAGGGATTCCTTCCAGGAGAAATGCAGTATGTGTCTCAGAAAGATGGGGGGGGAAGAAAGCCATGAATGGGCAGGTCTGGGTAGTCAATCTGCGGGTGACAGCTTTCCGGGGTAATTCTGACATCACGCCCCAAACAGAATGTGGCCCTTCCCTCACAGAAACTTCAGGGACAGCATTCAGGTGTCAGGTGTCACCACCAGAGGGGCTCTGGAAAGTCACTCAACCCCATCTCTTCTGATGCAACTGACTTACTTTCTGCCTCCATGTTTGTTAAAAGTCCCGCCGAATTTATTCCGATTCAGGATGAGAGCAGCAATTTCGGGCACGTAGCGGGCAAACATTGCCTACATGCATGAAACAAAGAAACAAGAGCCAAAAAAAAAAAAAAAATGGCATGCAGAGAGGATTCTACCACAGTGGAGGCAGCAAAACCTCTTGGCATACTTACTTTCTTCCACTAACCGCACTATAGGAGCCCCCGTATTTCTTGCGGTTTCCTATTAATTCTATGATTTCAGGGACGTAGCTGGCAAACATGGCCTGAGGAAAAGACAGGAGACAGAAGAGAGACTGAAAAGACAGGCCAAAGAAAGGTGGTGACCTTTTCAGAAGAGGAGGGGCTCTAAGATCCAAAAACACAAAAGGGTTAGGACTGCAAAGGTATATACTAATACGGTGGATTATAAAGATAAAAGCACAAAAGCACAAAAAGGGCAAGCTCCTGAAAATACACAGGACCAGACAAACATTAGCCAACCTAGACAACTACTAAAAAAAGAAAAAAAATCACAGTCAAGAAAAATGCAAAGGAGACAGGAATAAATAAGTAGACATCTAGCTTTTCTTGCTGAAGGGAAGGCAGTACAGGGGTGCATGCTGGTGAAATCACACTCACACACACACATACACAACGGCAAGGTAAGACCTTTCTTTCTAGTTAAAATTCACAGGAGAATCAATGCCTTTTTGAGTGATGAAAGACAATAAACACCAAAAGAAGATTAAAATAATATAAATTTTTTCCATTTAAAAAAAATCACTAAAAAGCACAAAAGGTAAATTTAGGAAATCACATGGGAGGACAGAATAGCAAGGAGAAACACAAATCTGCCATGTTTTGTCCAACAAACATTGTGCTTGTGGCTGGATTCATGGGTCTCAGTATCTACAGGGACCTCCCAAGTGCTCAGGAAATGCTTGTGTTAATGGACACACGCACATGTACATTTATATACATTTTTTTAAATGTATATATGTCGTATGCATACGGAACAGAGAAATGTATATGCATCTTATAAATGTATGTGCGGCGTACATACGTGAAAGCTGTGTGTGAGGGAGGATTCAAATCATTTACTGCATACGTGGCAAAAATCTCAACTTAAAACGAGCTACTTTGGAAAGACAAAATGCAGCAACCGACCATGTGTTGCCAGAAATCGCCCTTGAAAATTACATCATAACCGACCGTTAGGATCTGCAAAGACCAGAAAAGCAAACAGCGAAAACTTCTAACTTACAAAGGGGGAGGAAAAACATCCCACGGGTCGCTGCATCGTGGAGTTAGTCAGCCGTTTACAAAACCACACTCGGCTCACATAATGATGTCCACCTGCATGAGACCCGTAGGCTTTCCGTCCTCTGTGGGGACCCTACTCTTCTGGGCAGGCCCCAGCCACAGTGTTTGTTGGAAGTTTAGGGGAGGATCGTGAAGGGTGTGGGGGAGCTCTTGAAACCGCAAACTGTCTACAGAGTCTCCACAGCATCCACTGGGTTAGGTGAGAGCAGCTGTCCTTGCAGAAAGTATCAGCGGCTGAATTGCATTACTAAAGGACAGACACTCTCACTTAATAAGGGAGCATCACTTTCTTTAAGACAATTAGGTTTCCTCCTGGCGAAAAGGCTGACCCCAACAAGGGCAGGGAGCCTGGGTCTCTGGGAGACAAGTCTAACATACCAAAGAAATAGGCAGAAAAGTCACCATTTGCGTTTGGATTTACTTAGCCTGACTGTAACGCTAAGGCAATCACTTGCTGGTAATGCAGAAACACAGAATCAAAAAATACAAAGCTTTAAAGAAACGGATCATAGAAAATATTAATGACCGTAAAAATCAACATCGTAATAAAGAGTTTTTACCAGTCCCCCGAGGATGAAGAAGACCATGAAGAGGCGCCCAAGCGTGGTTTTTGCGTAAACGTCCCCATAGCCGACAGTGGACATGGTGACCATGAGTAAATAGACACATTCCCAGTAGGTAAGAGCCTGGTTGTTTTGGAAATTTTCCCATGGGTCCCCTGAATTCTCCACCTAAAGCAAGGGGACAGGGAAGAAAAAAGATGGCGTTATGTATGTAGGATAGACCAGGAACCCAAAAGGTTCAGCAGGCTCCACACGAGGTGTCTGCGGCCCCAGGTGAGTTTTATAGCAATGACTTGGAACCTCCACGCAGGTAATGGAGAGTCGAGTGGCAGTAACAGACATATGCCTTCCTAGCTGATGGGGCAGAGATGGGGAAGGAACAGAGATATGTATCCTTAGTCCGGTTTTCTTCTCATTGTTAAAGATGTGAAGCCTGCAGAGTTTGAAGGCATCGCCCCCGGCCATATTTTACAGCATTCTCTTCAAGGCAAGAGCCAGGGAGCTGTGCCCTGACCTTTCTCTGTGAGTTCCTGCTCAGTCTCGGAGGGCCTGGCTCCTGTACACCCAAAGAAATTTGAGACTCTCTCACCAGGGGCCTCCCCTTTTCATCGCTTTGACCAAGGCGATGCCTCGTGGGCTTCACTCATTCAAACCTTACACCCGAACCCCAAACAGCATCTCTCCGCGTCTGACTCTGCTCTCCCGGCTTTGCAGAATGTCAAGGATGGCTCTTCTACCCTGCAAAGGGCAGGGATTTCCCTGAGCGCAAAAAAATTGAGCTCGTGAGAACAATTTGCTTTTGTGCAACCCCTTAGATGGAGGGTCAGCAAGCTTTCTCTGTAAAGGACCAGATAGTAAAGAGTTTCAGCTTTGTGCAACAGACAGTTTCCGATTTCTGTAGCAACAACTGGACTCTGCAGTTGGTGAATCAGCCAGAGGCAATACTTAAACCCAAGGGGAGGGTATGAACTGGGAGCCCTTTTTCCCCAGGGGTGCAGTGTGCCCAACTTTACAAACTACCTCACGTTCCCATCGATATGATCCACCAACAAAGCTGTGAGGGAGGCAGGAGAGATACTCTAGCTACTACTCTCAGGAGAGAGGGAGAAATGTGGGCTGGATCTCCAGGTCTACCCCAGATCCCAGCCCTGCAGTACAGTGCATGGGCAGTGCCTATGATCCACCAGCATGGCCCACGTGGGCAGCCAGCCTCCAGGCCCCCAATCCACCGAGCCTCTGGTTCTTCCTCTGCAGAAAGTTTCCAAAACCTAGACTATTTCGCACATCACTTCTTGAGCTCAACGTGCCATTTTCATGGAGGTTTCTTGGTGGAGCAGAAGCTACGTCACAAAATGTAAGGTGAGCTCACCTCATGGAAATACTGAAGACCATACATGGTGATTAGGGTGATTACCTACTAAGAGTGATTTCAGCCAAGAACTCCATCAGCATAAAAGGGTGGGTGGGGAAGCCCTCAGATCTAGTGACTGAATGAGAGCCCCCTCCCCACGCCCCCCCCCCCCCCCCCCCCCGCCCCCCGGCTTCCATCCCAGGCCTGCCTCCCATGATAATTACATAAATCCTGATGATGGGAGGTAATTAAAGGCATCCCTCTGCCCCTTAACACAGATAGAGTCTCAGCAAGGGAAAGGCACCTTTACTCAAAGCTTCAGAGTTAGATGAGGCTCCTTCCGGTTTTAACAATTTGTGTTTGTATGAAACACGCTTCCAACAAAAGCTGTGGTCCCTAAAAGCAGGAATAAAGGTCTGCCTTGAGGAGGTGAGAAGAGCTTGACTTGATAATGGAAACCTTTCAAAGAGTCATTAATTTAAAAGAATTAACGTTTTGGAGATACAAAATAACTTGACAAGTAATCAGGCAAAAGAATCAAAGGTGGCTTTTTGTAAGGGGTAAGTAGAGAGAAATTGAGGGATGTGAATTTGTTGTTTCTTAAGAGCTAAGGGTCAAACTCCCAACCTTGTCAAGACCTTTCAAGTGTTGGCTGAGGAAGCACTGCCATCTTGTGGCTGAATGGGGTTACTGCAGACAGAGGGAAAAACCCACCCAACCAGTGAGCTGAAAAATGCAGGTTAATGAAGCGAACATCATTCACCATTTGGAACTAGTTTTGGGTAAAAGGGTTGGAAACCCAGACAATTGTGCAGTTGCTTCTCCTCCTACATTCTGCAGCGAGGCTGAAGTTTCTCTTCAGGGAGAAAAATTTCAAGCAATAAAATGACGCAGGGACAGATTTACTGCAGAAAAGCCAGAGCTGAAGCATCGTCAAGGGTACTTACCAAATGGATGAACCCGGCTGCAGTTAGCCATGTGCTGATAAATATGGAGAGCAGATTCACCAGCTTGATGGAATTACTGTGCAAAAGAGACAACAAGCAAAATCCCCAAGTTACAAGAGAAGACTATGTTCGGGCTGCCTTCCAGAGTGACAGCAATCTTTAGGGGACAGGTAGCCCACCTCTACTCCCCAGGGCTTCCTCCATCATAAGGGAAGGTCCCAGAAGACAGTGTTGGTAGGTAGGGACAGAGCCAATAGAAAAATGACCTCTGGGTCACTAAAAGTGACCCCTAAATTAACCCCTCTCTTGGGTTTAACTTTAAATTTTATTTTGAAAATTTTTATGTCTACAGAAATATGGAAAGAACAGTATATAAACACCTATATGCCATTCTTCTAGAGTAAGCAATTAGTATTTTGGACATTTTCTTCGTATTCTTTTTCTTTTCTCTTTTTCTCTCTCTCTTTTTTTTTTTTTTTTGGCTGTACAATTTACAAGTACATTGTAGACATCATGACACAACCCTTAAATACTTTAGCATTTAACACCTAAGGATACCATGCAACAGTTGTCATGCCCAAGAAAATTCAGGTGAATTCAGGAATGTCATCTAAAATGCACTCTTTCTTTAAATCTCTCCAGTTGCCCTGAAATTATTTAATGATGTTTTCATTCTTTCACCTTGATGCAGGAACCAACCAAGATCCGGGCATCGCATTTGGCTATTATGTTGCTTTCTTTATTCCAAGGGTCAGGAAACTTTTTTTAGGCTTTGTGGGTCACAGAATCTCTGTGGCAGCTATCCTATTTTGCTGCTATAGCATAAAAGTCAGTAAGAGAATGGATGTGTCTGTGTTCCAATAAAACTTTATTTACAAAAACAGGCTATGGGCTGGATTAGCCCTTGTACTATATAGTTTGCCAACCCCTGCTTTGTTCTCCTTTCATCTGCCCCCCTGCCCTTTTTGTTTGTTCTCCAGAACATTTAATTTTCTGTGCACTCAGGTCAACTGTCTTATAGAATGTCCCATATTCTGGATTTGTCTGATTGTTCCCCCATGAGTAGATCCTGTTTAAATGGTTCTGTTAAGAATATCTGCCTGGGTTGTCATCACATCAGGAAATTTCCACTCAATTACACTAGGTCTAGTCAGTTGGTTAAGGTGGGAACATGAAATCTTGCCACTTCCCTTTGGAAGGAGCTCACTTCCCTTTGTAATTAATATGTCATCTACGCAGTGAGAATCTGAGACTATATGAATACCCTGTTCCCTCACAACCTCCTGCCTAACAATGTCAGCATCCACCAGTGTTCCTTGAGTGGATCAGCCGGGACTCACTAAAGTTTAAGCACCCCGAAAGCAGAGGCCTTGTCTGTCTGGATCCCATGAGTGTAGTGAGTCCCTGGCACATAGTACGGCCTTTAATGCATAAATCCTGAGTGAACTCATCCCTCCCCCTGTACTCTTCCCTCTTAGCTTCACCCCATTTACTCCCGCTGGGGTCCAGTTCCTTGAACGCTGTTGTTAGCAGGTCACTTCCCTATCCAAAGGCTCCCTGTTGACTAAAATGTTATGTCCAAACTCCTTCCGTCCTCAACACCTGCTGAAGGTTCAGGCTCACCTACCACCTCTTCAACATCAACTCTTGAAACCTCCCTCACAGCCAAACTTGTGTCCTATGTCTGTTTATACTACTACCAAAGAGGGTCTTTTCCATCTTTGCAAATATTTCCCTTTCTTCAGAGCCTGGTTCAATCCCCAGGTCCTTGTTAAAGTGGTCCCTGCACCTGCGATACAAAGTGACTCCTCCTGGCTCTTACTTGCGGCCACTCATTGGGAATCAATCCCATTGTGTTAACACATCTTTTGTAATGTCGTTTTAGATTGCTGTTTGTCTCTTGTGTTCCTGGCTGCATCTTGCGGAAACAAACTTTATTTTCCACCTCTCTCAGGCTCCCTATAGTGGCGTAATGCCACCGACAGGTGGTTCAGTCCATCATTCTTGATTGATTGTTCTCTGCCCTTTCCTACTTCTTTCTCATGGGGAACCGTGCTCACCATTCTAAGTGTTTTGAGTGTATTCACTCCTCTACTCTTCATGACAACTCTGTGATGTCACCCAGACCCAAACTCACACAGTAAAGCAGCAGAGTTGGAATGTGAGCCGGGGCAGTTTGGCCAGAGTCTACCCTCTTGGCCACTACCAAGTCCTCTTGGCCTTTGGCCTACAAAGTCATAGACTAGTGTCTGTCACAGTCTTCTGTGTCCGCCCCATGCCCCCGCACAGGATATGAAAAGGTCAGAGAGAGCTGCCCCAGTGAGGTGAGACTCTCTGGAGATACTGATTAACCTCTTGAATGGCCAGAAAAAAAAAAAGAATGGAAAAGAAAAATTCTGGTAACTACATCTACACTGGGGTCACCATGTGGAAGAAGGCAGGAGGGGGCTACGGTCCAGGGTAGCCCGGGGGTTGAAGGAAGATCCCCTCGGTGGAGGCCAGATCAGCAGTTCTAGAACAGGGACAAGGCCAGAGTCCAGCTTGCCTTTTTCTTCAATCTTCTTTTCTTTATGGAATTGAGCAGAGCAGAGGAACCTGTGGTCTTAGTTTTTTCTAGAGTTGGTTCTGACAATTCAAGGAAAATATAGCCAAATATTTTAAAATTTGTTTGATACTGATCTTTTGAAATGTGTGGAATGACTTCCTTCTGGTTCAAAAACAGAAAAACAATAAAAATGTCCATTCTGTCATTCTTCGGCATCTCAAGAGTTACCAGGTTATAAGAGTTGCCTATAAAAATTGCCAGTATTTATTGAGTCCCTATTATATGTGCTAGGCATTATGTTGGGTTCTTCATTTTCTTCAGATTTTTACCATTCTATCTTTTGATACAGGTACTATCACTGTTTCTGCTAACTAAATAAGGAAACTGAGGCTTGGTGTACTTAAGCAGCTTGCCTGAGAAGACATGTTTGGCAGGTGGTGGGGTTAATATTCGAACCAGGCCTGTCTGATCCAAAGCCTCATTAACACAATAATTTGGAGAAGCAGTACAGAGCTCTCTTTCTATTGCTCTTGGGTTGGTCTCACCTCCCTTCCTCAAGGACAGTCCTGTCTTCAGCCTCTGACCTAGGTGGGGTGTCACTCAAAGGCTCCCACCTCTCTCTCTACCGGGGTGGCCTGAGCCACACTCGCCAACGGAGGAACTCTTGGCTCTAAAAGGGCCACGAAGTAGGGCTCATCAGAAGCATTTTTTAGGAACGGAGTGAGAGAGAAAGAATCTAAGTCCTCCCGAGATTCAGGTGCAAAAAATAAAAGTCTTGGGCTCTACAAGCCCATCTGCCCTGGAGAAAGACTGCCTGAGAGTGTCACCTAAAAGAGATAAAGAGAGAAGCAGAATCCTGATGAGAGACTCTGAACCCCTGGATCCAGACATGTCCAATTCTGACTTGAATCCTAGTCATTACCAAGGCCAATTCAAAGTAGACTCTGCCCTCACAATTAAAGCCATCTGCCCACAACAGAAGGGGTCAATATCCAAAATGCTCTCTGAGAATCTAACAATTGATCAGGTCTATAAAGTAGGTTGGGACTATCCCTACCTAAAAAAAGAGGGCGGACCCTGTACCACCACCAACTGTGCTCAACAGTATGGTTAGTTCCATGGCTCTGCAAGTTCTGGATGGACCTGGCACTTACAAGGGCAAGCACAGATTGCTTAAATCCTGGCCTTTGTCCCTTTTTCCAGATGCTACCATGGGTCATGCAACCACCTCTAGGTAGTTTCTGGAGCTGTGACTGGAGACCACCCACTCACCAAAATAATGTTTAAAATCTTCTATTTAAGCTTCTCCTGAGAGCAGAGAGATACCATAATTCTTGCCTTTCTGTTCCCTGGACCAGCCTATCAGCCCCAGAGGCCTACGTACTGGACTTCCAGAGCATTCTTGCTCTTGAAGGACGCCCCCACCCCAACCAGAGACTGTCAGAGTAGAAATAAAATGTATGGGTATAAGGCATCCACCCAATGAGCCATCAGGAGAAGCAACTCTGGTAACCAATGAACTGAACATTGTTGCAGCTGGAACATCACTATATCCTGCTCCCAACTAATTTCTCAATGGGAAGCCAAACTACAGCAAAACCTCTGTGCCTCTACCGTGTGAGTCCTCCAAGGTGCGAGCTAACATAGGAGAGGGAGAAGGAGATGAGGAACATGTAGGCTGGTATCTCAGAGAAGCATGTACATATAATCCTTGACTTCACAAGGGTTCAACCTACAATTTTTTGACTTTACAATGGTGTGAAAGCCATATGCCTTCAGAGAAACTAGAATTTGAGTTTTGAATTTCAGTCTTTTCCTGGACTAGTGATAGGCACGTGATTTCTCTTGTGATCCTGGGCCATGGCAATGAGCTGCAGCCCCCTGTCAGCCAGGTGATCACCAGAGCAAACAACCGACACACAACCACTGGTTTTCACTTCTGGTACAGAATTCAACAAATTACAAGAGATATTCAGCACTTTATTATGAAATAGGCTTGGGTTAGATGGTTTTGCCCAGGTATAGGCTAATTTAAGTTTTGTGAGCACATTTAAGGTAGGCTAGGCTAAGCTATGATGTTCGAGAGGTCAGGTGTATCAAATGCATCTTTGACTTAGGATATTTCCAACTTACGATGAGTTCATCCAGATGTAAGCCCATTATAAGTCGAGGAAAATCTGTATTCATCTTCCAAAAGGATAAATACCAAGTTGATTCACTTACACACTCCCAGATCCTTGGAACCTGAACAAAGCAGTGCCCCACCAATCACTATGTGGAGCCCTCTTGAGATATTAAAACTATCGTAGCCTTTGAGCCTCTTGGTGCTTTGGAAAAACAACCTAAATATGATGATTATTAATTTCTAAATGATTGCCATAATGACATTAATAGTGCTTAAGGGAATTCTGCCTGTGCCTAGAACAGTTTATCATTGTTGCTGAAAGAGTCCATATTCAGCACTGAAATCTGATTATTTTTATGGCATTAGCATCATTACAGATCACTAGTATTAGGAATTTGCTTTCCAA